CCATTTATGAATAGTAATTACATTACTTTGAAAAGTGAGAGATTGGTTCGTACTGCTCTAAATATGCTTTATCTATTTCTTCTGCTTCTTTGAGTAGGTAAGTCATGCATTTTCATACAGCGAGTACAGAAGTCAAGCAACAGAATCCCAAAGAGTCAGAGTGTTATCTTCGCTGTTTCTGAAGGCCAGTCACAATATAGTGAGATAAAACCAGATGCTGCAGAGCAAGAGAACCACCGTCCTGATTCTGAAGATATATTTCCAGCTAGCGGTTCATACTTCCATTTTGATGGGACTGATGGAAAACCGGGTTTGATCTCATTCTATAACCGCCCATATAAAAGAGAAGAAGAAGTTCCTACAAATAATCCAGAAAGGAACCAAAACAACCTCTTATGGTTCATTGGTCCAGCTGTTCTTCTTGCGTCTTTCATTTTCCCCTCACTTTATCTGCGAAAAATCCTATCGACTGTATTTGAGGATTCTTTGTTGACAGGTAAGGAAGCATATTTTTTGCGGTGATTTTATGTTTTTCAAGTCCAGATATTTGTTGCCACATGTTTTTTGTGTACAATTATAATCACAGTATCTTCATAGAATTGGAGGAACAGGAAAGTTGCCCTGATCTTGAAATTTTGTCTCCTAACATATATATATGTATACACCTTGCTGGGTATCACTTTCTCTATGCTGCAAGTTGCATTATTATTGATTTTGTGTAAGACTATCCTGGGGGTTTTCAATGGAGTCTATTTTAGTGTGAATTCACCATGATGAAAGTTTATGTGGCTGACTCAATTGAATGATGGGCAAGTGACACTAAATTGTTATCGGCAAAGGTGTATATAGATATATGTTAGGAGACAATCTCAAGATAACAAGACAACTTTCCTGTTCCTCATATTTGTGTTACTTCTAGCATGTAGATTAGAAAATCTTAACATTGATATGATATAGATGGACGATGAAAGGATAACTAAAGGATGAGAAATGTCTATAAGGGAAGGGCAATAATCATGGGAACATGAATGAAAATATTGAATAATGACATGAAGTTCTAAGAAGTAACATGAGATGTGGTTCAGTGGATTGGAAAAGCAGTTTGTTGATGGTTCAACTCTTGTGAACTAAATGAGCGTTGGCAATTTGAAAAATGTTGGCCTGTTCTCAAAGACTATTAGAGTACCAAAACATTTGGCTGATTTCATGTTTAAAAATACATTCCATTTATCTTTAAAAACTCATTAGTTCTGTTTGCTTAGGAAATACACCTCTCTCTTGTCTAAACCATAATCTTTTCTTTCTCAGATTTCCTCATCTTGTTCTTTACGGAAGCTATCTTCTACAGTGGTGTTGCGGTGTTCCTTCTTCTGATTGACCATTTAAGGAGGCCAACTGAACCAGAATTGGTTGTCCCCAGTAACAGAACCCTCACCCCTCAATTAGGACAGCGGATCTCATCTGTTGCTGCTTTGGTGCTTAGTCTTATAATTCCTATGGTGACTATGGGTTATGTCTGGCCGTGGACTGGCCCTGCAGCTTCTGCTACTCTTGCTCCATATCTGGTTGGTATAGTGGTCCAATTTGCATTTGAGCAGTATGCAAGATATAAGAAGTCACCTTCATGGCCTGTTATCCCGGTCATCTTTCAAGTAAGACCAATCTATTCTTTCAGTTTTTGGTTATGGAAATTGCGAAAATTAAATTTGATCCTATTAGGTGATAGTTCTTAAAATTCCAGCCTGTCTACATAGGTTATATGTATTTGGGCATCAACCACTCACCTTAAACTGTGTTTGAAAACTATGAAATGATATGAACTGCCTCCTATATTTGATTTATGGTTGTGTATATGTGCGGGCCTGTGAATCAAACAGTTTATGTTCACTGTGCTTGACAGGTTTATAGATTGCATCAGCTGAATAGAGCAGCACAACTGGTGACTGCTCTGTCGTTTACAGTCAGAGGAGCTGAGACAACCTCACACAATTTGGCAATAAACAGCTCTTTGGGAACACTTTTGAATGTCCTTCAATGTCTTGGTGTCATCTGCATTTGGTCTCTCTCAAGTTTCCTAATGAGGTTCTTCTCTTCTACCACCGTCACTGCACAGTGAAGCATCAATATCATATAAGGATCACATATTTCAGAAACGATACAATCTGTCTTATTGGGGCCAATTTCCTTTTTTAATAGTTTTGTTCTGCTTGGGTGGGAGTTTGGCAGCAAATGGCCATGGAAGCATTAGTCTTAAGCAAGTTAGAGGGTAGTTGCACGATTTTGTAAAGGAGAACCTCAAACTGCAAGAGAGAGCGAAGTTGGTGAGAATTTTGGTACTTATATTTCCATTTGATTCCTTGCACTCCATTTTTGTTGTACATAGAGCCTGGACTGTACCAAGTCCTAGGGTCTTGAATCAATTTCTCTTCATTAAATCATATTGGTTTAGAATTTGATAGAGATCTCTGTTGCAAGCTTATATGATCTCTTAGAAGGGGTTTATTCACAATTGAATTTTATCACATCACTGTTCGATTTATATGATCTCTCAACAAAAAATTCGTCTCATCCACCCATTATTATTATTATTATTATTTTTGGTTGAAAATGATATTTCATTAACGGAGGACAAACCCCCGGAAACAAGAACAAAGCACAGGGAAAGTCTCCCAACCAGTAGGCAGGACAATTAGAAACAACCAACTACATAAACAAAGCCAGCTGCAAAGAAGCAAATAAACAAAGACGCCACCCACACTAAGGCTACAACGTCCACCCGTTATAATCCACTGCATTGCAGTCCCCAGCAGTGAAGTCCCTCTCTTTCCTAAACTGATGCAAATGGAATTTTATTTCTCACATCTAATGAAATCCCAGCAATCCAAGTTTTACCTTCTTGCACTCAACAATATAGCCCCGATCTCTTCTCTGATATTCTTTAGAGAATTAATCCAAGTTTTTATTTTTTCCGCTTTCAATAGAAAATTGTTTATTGGCACTTTAAAAAAGTCATTATACGCTCTTAAAAGCGCATTTATATCATAAGAATCTACGATGATTTTTTTTAAAATTACAATAACAACTTCCTTTCTGGCATTCTTTAGTGGTCCGTCTTTGAAGTGCCTGTACAAATAGAGTTGGTCACCAAATCTTTTCAAAATCATACACAAAAAGCAGGCCAAAGTCAACATTTCCCTGAAGATATCAATGAAAGATTAAGATAATAAAGTCAACCCTAACTGATATAAACTACTGAACAATAACTGGTTTGGACAGATAATCCTTGACTAGACCAGTAAAAGGTATTTCATTAAAATAAAAGGAACATCAACATTTTCATATCTTGTTTGGAAATAAATGCTTGTTTTCTTCACAAGAAATACTATTTTATGCAGAAGATAAGCGACACATTAGTATTATAGGTCATCAAAAATTCTGATCATGGATTTATTATTGACAATTTGATATATGTTATGTTTTCGTATTAATATATTTAAAATGCCTTTTGCTAAAAAGTGCACCTTTTTGCCAACTTTTTCTTAGTTAAATGTGTTTTTATAATTGATATAATTCTTACTTTCATCACTTCAATGATGTACCTTCTCCTTTGTCTCTCAGTCACCTGATAATATAAACTCAATTGTCTTCTGGTTTGGTGAAACATTCTTTCTCTTATTTCTGATCAAAGATTTAAAACTCAGATTAGACTTAAGGGTGGCATGTACTTTGTACAGTCAGAGAGAAAACTCCAAAAAGAATATTAAGTGGGTGTTTGACAAATCGAATTCAGCTGCAATATGGAAAGGAAAATATATGAGCATATCTTGAGCATGTAGATTTGCAGCCATGAATATGTTGCTGACCTAGTACCACGACATGTTGAATGTACAAAACACTTGGTCTTATTGATAATCATACCTCCACTTTAAAAAGAGGGCAAGTTCTAATTCACTTCTCTAAATATTACTGAAAATAAGCTAACGAGGTCTAGCATAGTGGAAAATAGCATTGACTTGCAGACCAAATTCGAACCTCATGACTCCTTGGTAGTGTGTGTGTCACCATAATATTTTCTATTTTTAGTCAAGCATTTTAGTGGCCCAAACCATTGTCAATTTTTCATCCATATTAGTTGCCTCTTCCTGATCCTGAGAAACAAAGCAAAGGTGAAGTGAAGGATATAAAGCTATTGCTGATAGATAGGTAAGCAATTAGACTTCTCAATCAAAGATTTAGAAACTCAAGTTTGAAGCAACCTTATTTGTCTTCTTCTTTTTGGGTTCACTAGTGGCATGAGAATACCTTCAATTTATGTACTGAGACAATATTCTCTCTCCATCTTATTAGACCTAATTTGGGCCAACGCAGCATTTTTTGATCTTATTACACCAAACCTCACATGTTCTTTGGCCCTATTGCGTGTTTCAACATGATTGGTTAAGTGGTCACTTGTGTCAAATTGATCAATCAAATGGGGTTGTTTTGGTTCTCATGTTTTCTTCCTGTATTTAATTTGGTATTTGGTGGGTTTAGGTTACATGAGAACATATCTCATGGTTGAACTTTCGACTCATTAATACAGATTAAAAAACTTCCAATTATGAGAAAATTGTCAAGGGCTAGAAAGTAGATACTAATGTTAATGCAGTACACTCTTTACATACATAGGCATTCAGTGATAGAGAACACTTCACTGCACATTCACGATAAGAGCTTTCGAGTCTTGCTTCCGTTCTTTGTTCAATTGAAGAAAAAAGAAAAAAGAATAAAACTTCAAACTTAAACATGAAAACTTTGATGCAAGCTGACAGCAGATGATGCATGAATCTATCAACTTTTTCATGCCCCTCTGCTGCATTCTATGGTTTCAACAGAATAATGGATTTATACCTATCTTGTGGACTGACAATCCTAGAAGTTAAATTGACTAAATCTATGATAAAGTCACAATTTTTTTGGAGTAACTGTGATATGGATGGTTTATTTATATTGAAGAGAGCCACCCTAAATTTAACTTCTAATAGCCTAGAGTGCGGTCCACTTCTTCAATTTACTATTAGGTGCAAGTGGAATGCTTTTCCTAACTTTTTGTTTTCGTTTTAGCCATGCTTTCACCATCCTTATCTCCATGCACTTCCCCACCCCCTATAAGATTCTAAAACATGTTTCAGCATTCCATACACACCTTGAGAAGAAAAAAAAGGAGAGAAGCATCATATCTTTTAGCAGAATTGAGAAAAAAGGTAAAAAGAGATGGCTACCTTAAAAAGAAGACTTGTGGTTAAAGCTTAATTACTTTTGATGGATTGTTATTATCAACTTTCTTTGCAAACTGATTAGGTAGGCCTACTTCAGAAGACTATTTAAACTCCAAGCATCCATTATCCCACCATAGTTTTAAACTTATCTTACCTCTTAATCAAATCTCCTCCTTGAATTCTTATTCCATCTCTTCTTGCTATTTGCCTCACTCTTTCTTGCCTTGCCTTTCTTTCTGCATGGCATTTCTAAGAAGCAATACTAAATCTTCAGAATCAGTATCTGATAATTTGGTCTGAACTTAATCTTAGTCATAGCATTGATATGTCTCATTTCATGCTGTTCTTTGCAATACTTCATGCTATTCTTGCTGTTGCTCTTGGAGATAGCTTGAGAGATTCCATCTCACTTCTGAGAATCAAATCAGAACTGGTTGATCCAGCAGGAGTTCTTGACAACTGGTCTCCAAGAGCTCATATATGCAGTTGGAATGGCCTTTCATGTTCAGATGATCAGATGGATATTGTTGGTCTGAACCTATCTGGATCAGGACTATCTGGTTCTATCCCACGTGAGCTTTGGCAACTCACTACAATTGAAACACTCGATTTGTCTTCGAATTCCCTCACTGGTCCACTTCCTCCTGAGTTGCGACAGCTTCAAAATCTTGAAACACTTCTCCTCTATTCGAACTTTCTCTCCGGTGAGATTCCTCCAGAAGTAGGCCTTTTGAAGAACTTGCAAGTTCTTAGGATAGGAGACAACTTGTTATCAGGTGCAATTCCACCAAGCATTGGCAACTTGACTGAGTTGAGAGTGTTGGGTCTTGCCTATTGCCAATTAAATGGAAGCATTCCAGTTTATATTGGCAATTTGAAGCACCTGATATCTCTTGATTTGCAGAACAATAGCCTCAGTGGCCTCATACCAGAAGAGATTCATGGCTGTGAAGAGCTTCAGAACTTTGCAGCATCAAACAACATGCTTGAAGGAGATATCCCTTCTTCGATAGGATCACTTAAGTTACTGCAAATTCTGAACCTGGCCAACAACAGCCTTTCTGGATCAATTCCTGTTGTGTTAAGTCAACTCACCAATTTGAAGTACTTGAATTTTCTAGGGAACAGATTGAACGGCGATATTCCTTCGGAGCTTAACCAGTTGGTTCAGCTTGAGATGCTTGACTTGTCACAAAACAACCTCTCAGGAAGCTTACACCTTCTCAGCACCCAACTGAAGAATCTTGAAGCTCTGGTTTTGTCTGATAATGCCTTGACAGGTAGCATTCCAAGCAACTTCTGCCTCAGAAATTCAAACCTTCGACAACTTCTTCTGGCTCGAAACAAACTCACTGGAAGATTTCCTTTAGAAGTACTGAGCTGTTCCTCACTCCAGCAGTTGGACCTTTCAGATAACAGCTTTGGAGGAGAGCTACCAGCTTCCCTTGACAAACTAGAGAATCTCACTGATCTTGTCCTCAATAACAACAGCTTTACTGGAACTCTACCTCCTGAAATTGGAAACATGAGTTACTTGGAAAATCTGTATCTGTTTGGCAACATGATCACAGGTGGAATTCCAGTGGAGATTGGAAAGCTACAAAGGTTGAAAACCATTTACCTGTATGATAACCAGATGTCAGGATCCATACCAAGAGAGCTAACCAACTGCTCAGACTTAACAGGAATTGATTTCTTTGGGAACCATTTCACAGGGTCCATCCCTGCAACAATTGGAAATCTTAGGAATCTAGTTTTGCTCCAACTGAGACAGAATGGCTTGTCAGGTCCTATTCCACCAAGCTTAGGTTACTGCAGAAGTCTTCAGCTATTGGCCTTGGCTGATAACAAGCTCACTGGAACATTGCCACCCACATTCAGATTCATTTCACAACTAAGCACCATCACCCTTTACAACAACTCCTTTGAAGGCCCTCTTCCCTCATCACTTTTTCTTCTTAAAAACGTCAAGATCATAAACTTTTCTCACAATCGGTTCAGTGGAACCATCTTTCCTCTCTCCGGTTCGAATTCTCTTACTGCTGTAGACTTAACAAACAATAGCTTTTCAGGTTCCATTCCTTCTAGACTATCCATGTGTAGAAATTTAAGCCGTCTCCGTCTTGCACACAATCACCTCACTGGCACCATCCCTTCTGAGTTTGGCCAACTCACACAGCTCAACTTTCTTGACGTATCCTACAACAATCTCACAGAAGAAGTGCCACCTCAATTGTCCTCATGTCAGAGAGTTGAGCACCTTTTGCTAAATAATAACCAATTCAGAGGAACAATACCTCCATGGTTAGGAAGCTTACAAGAACTAGGAGAGCTAGACTTCTCATCTAACAACTTCCATGGAACAGTACCTGCAGAACTTGGTAACTGTTCAAACTTACTGAAGCTTTCTCTGCATGGCAACAGTCTCTCGAGCATGATCCCAGAGGAGATAGGAAATCTCACATCTCTTAATGTTCTTAATCTTCAGAGAAATAATTTTTCGGGTTCTATTCCGTCAATGATCAGGCAGTGCAAGAAGCTCTATGAACTGAGGCTCTCAGAGAACTTCTTGACAGGTTTGATACCATTTGAACTAGGAGAGCTCACTGAGTTACAAGTCATCCTGGATCTCAGCAAAAACTTATTCTCTGGTGAAATTCCATTATCTCTTGGCAATCTAATGAAGTTGGAGAGGTTGAACCTATCTTCCAATCAACTCCAAGGAGAAGTTCCTGTTTCACTTGGAAAGCTGACCAGCCTGCACATGCTAAACCTGTCAAATAATCATCTCCAGGGCCAAATTCCATCAACTTTTTCAGGATTTCCACTAAGCTCCTTCTTGAGAAATGACAAGCTTTGCGGCCCACCATTAGCAAAATGTCTGGAATCTCAAGGGCAGAGGAAAAAGCACCTTTCTGATGCTGCAGTAACTGGCATTACAGTGGCCATTGTGTTGACATCCACAGTAATTTGCTTGGTGATGCTTTATATCATGTTAAGGATGTGGTGCAAATGGAGAAAAGTTTCTATCTCAAACTTGGATGGTGGTGGGGCTGAATACAAGAGAGAAGAGGAGAAATGGGGTCTTGGTAATGAGAAGAAGAGGGCTGGTGAGTACTGGAAAGTGGACTCTGGGGCAGAAATGCAACAACAGCATGCATTCTACACCTCAAAATGAGAAAAGAAGCCATGATGGTGATGGTGGTAAATACCTTATTTTGAAGTCATGGGAATTACCCATCTCTTATTTTCTTTCCTCTTCCATTTTTAAATTGAATTGTTGTACAATCTCCCTCTTTTAACTTTTTCAGTCTTTCTTTACGAAGTGCAAGTGCTATGTGATTCTATTTTGAGTTCTTGAATTGTGAGGTGTAATTTGAAGTATAGACTTTTGAGTGTGTATAGATTTCTTTAACTGTAAGAAGCTAGAGAGAGCACATTTTGGATATATTCTTCAATGTAATCTGAGCTTTTTTATTGAGGAAATATCATATTTCATGTTTTGCCAGATAACGACATGCAAGAATTTTCTTGCATTTTTTCTGCACGTAACATGCGACCAAGCAAACTCACTGGATGAAAATGCAAAAATTCACATAATTCTTGTTCTTACTTGGAGAAGAATGGTCAGTGCTCACGTTTAGTCTTCGCATGTTAGGCCGACTCTAGACAGATGTTCGAACTTTGGACCCTCATTAGAGGGCTTCACCTCCTTGTACAACTGAAACTCTGCTACTCTAGCCCACTACAAATATCCAACTCCAATGGTCAATAGCTTTAGGCCCTATACCAAATATGCCAAACTCGCAAAACATATTGAAATGGGTTTGCCACTGAATCCACCTAACATATATCTCAAGCCGAAGTCCTAGGTTGGATTCCGCCTCCCTTTCTATCGAAAAAATATATATAACAAGCTTATCCCAAGCATCCCTATCAGGTAAGCTAAGCATGCAGAACTTAGAAGAACTTCAGCTCCTCAAGTGTAAATTGGACACTAAATATTGGGGTACCACAAATACAAGAGAAGACGACTTGAGTTTCCACTGAGGATGGCATAGCCAAACTCAATTGTGTACCCATAATTTGAAGTCCATCAACAACAAATCAAATTTGCAACTGAAACTTGATAGAAAAACATTACTTTTTTCCAAGCACAAGATAAAAGCAGGAACATTATTTTCATTAACTATTATTACATTTTTCATGTAGTTTGTTCCTTCAGCCTTGATGTAGGAATATGGGTATGTATAGTTTCACCTCTTCATCAGGGAATGAAGTTTTTTACTTAGAGGCAATGGCACCAGCCTCACTGAGAAGGGGCAGAAGGAGACCTGCCTGGTTCTTCTCTAAAACAGCTGCATGATCCAAAAAGAGAATAAATAAGTAAACTGAAAATCAACTAAGTTGAAATGATTTGAGGGGTCTTTTGTTGATATCAAATTCCACTGAACATGATATAAACAATATAGCATATGCACTTACAGTCACAACCACCAATGTGTTTTCCCCCAATAAAGACATTAGGCACAGTCCTTTGTCCAGTCCACTCTGCTAGAGCTGCTTGAGTTTCATCTCCATCAGCTTCAAAAATAAAATATATGAATTCCCCAACAATCTAGGATTAGAAATTCAGAAGTAACTAACATAGAAAACCCATCTTCTTATTCTTATGACACTAACAGTCATGAACTGTAAGCAAATTGAAGAAAACATCTGACTTATAACACTAACACTAACAGTCAGCAACTCATAGAAAATACTTTCTTTCTCATTGAATTTTAAGTCTTGAAATCTTCTAAGACTAAGCAATCAAGAAAGTCCAAAGAAGTAGAATATGGTAATTGTTGAGTCCTCAGTAATGAAATTGGGAAGTCAATTCTATCAAAAGCAAAAATTGATAAAAATGGGTTGTGAGAGAGAGAGAGAGAGAGAGAGAGAGAGAGGACTTACTTCCCTCATCCAGTTCAATGACCTGGTAAGTTGCTCCAAGCTGAGTAAGCAGCTGCTTTACCCTCTTGCAATAACCACAGTAAGTCTTACTGCCCACAAAAAATAAGAAATAAAACATCAAGAACAAGATAATACAGTAAAGCTAATGAATTTCTAAATTAGATTGGGCATCAAAACTAATTGGTGCTGGAACCCATTTAGTTCCACGATTTATATGAAAATGGAACACATGAATCTGTAAATTGGTTAACAAATTAGTTTCTTTTAAAAAGAGCGATGAAAAACCTGAAGACGACAACTGGGTTGGAGTTAACGATGGTCTTGACCTTGCTGACCGCCATTTCAAGCTGTTCCTTGCTGATACTCTTGGTTAACAGAGAACCCATTTGCTCTTTTACACGTCTTATGTTACATATGGCGACAAATATATGAAGATGTAAGATCAGACACAGAGAGAGAGATAGAGACACAGGTGTTGAGCCTGGCTGTTTGGTGTCAAGAAATTAGAAGAAGAAAGAAAGATGCAGAGACAGGTGTTGGAATCAGATTCCGCATGCAGATGCAGCCCAATAAAAATCTGGCAGCTTCCACGACAAGATTAAAGAGAAATGAGAGAGAGAGAGAGAGAGAGAGAGAGAGAGTGTGTAATTGGGCTTTGGATGGTGCCGTCGACCAGGGCCGGCCCTGGGTGATTGAAGGGAGTATTGTATTAATATATAGATACACGTATATAATGGTAACAGGGCCGGCCCTGGGTGACTGAAGGCCCAGGGCAAAACTCTAAGAGTGTGCCCTTTATTCATAAATTATTATTATTTTAATCAAATAATTAATTGAGTGCTGCTATTTTTATCATATTGTCTAAATTATTTTAGAATATTAAAAAAACATGAAAAACTTCATCACTTCCTTCCCAGGCTGCACCAAACAAGCCACCACCCAAACACCACCAGCCACCTAGCAACCACCATCTACCACAAGCCGAATAGCACCCACCCACCCAGCTAGCTCTCAAGACACCTAATCCCCATCAAACCAAATTATCCATAACCCATTCTAAATAATTACCGACCCAATTTGACAAAACTCATTAACTAGTGTATTGCAATTTGCAAGTATGAGAATCGATTGAAATAGCCTTCCTCACCATTTGAGACAAAAACCAAAAGCCTGATAAGAAAATCCTTGTTTAGAGAAACCTAGGGAGGAGATGCATGCTTTGGGTGAGAGAGAGAGAGAGAATTCTTATGCCTGCCACCATTGGGGGACCCATAATTTTTTTAGCGGAGGTGCAATATTGACTAAGTATGAAAAATGGTTTTTCGGAATAATCATTTTCTCAAGATAATTTTTGGCGGCTTTTATTCCTTACACATCAAATAAGAAAACTTGATTTTATGGAATTTTAGTATGAAGTATATATTGACTTAATGAGCCATCATTTTTAGCATAAATCGTATTTTGCACTAAAACCGATTTTTCATATTTTTATTTGGTGGGAATTTGATTTTCTAGTATTTTTATTTGAATCCAAATGGGGGGTACTTCCTTATTTACATTGTAAACTTAAGTAAATTGAGTAATATAAAAATAAATGAAAGTAAAAGGACAAAGACATTTACCTTTTACTAAATGTTGAAAATGGAAATAAGGTAATATGTACACCAGTTGAGCATAGGGTCAATATAATGTAGCCATACCCATTACTTTTAGTTATTTTATTTTTTTATGAGCACTTATAATTTTGTTTTGCATATACATATATATTTTTTTGTCTGCTCATATACATATATATATAAGCTAATATAAATTTTTTTTGTGCCCTTCTCAATCGTGGGCCCCGGGCGGTGGCCTTGGTTGCCCTGGCCAAGGGCCGGCCCTGTCGTCGACTGTGTCGTTTTTGTTTTTGGGGATCGACTGTGTCGTTTTCACTTGGGAATATACGCTTCCTCACATCAGCTGTAAAAATAAAATAAAAAAGGGGCGGGCGCCTAGGCGGGTCTCCTTTTTTTTTATAAAATAAATCGTAAAGCCGCACGGCTATACTGGGGTCTTTTTTTCTTAATTTTTTTAAATAAATAGTATGGCCGCGCGCCCATACTACGGTGTTTTTTTAAATTTTTTAAATTAATAGACTCCTAAAAAAAGGGCCACCTAGGTGCTAAGTGGGTTCCGTATAGCCGCACGGCTATACTGGGTTCTCTTTTTATAATTTTTTTAATAAATAATATAGTCGCGCGGTCATACTGGGTTCCCTTTTTTATTTTATTTTTTTAATAAATAGTATAGCCGTGTGGCCATACGCTTTAAATATATATGGGGCTTTTTTTTTTTCCATAATTATTTTTCCCTAATTTCGGCACGGCATAAATAAATAGTATAGCCGCGCTCTTTAAATATATACTGGAATCCTATATTTTTTAATAATTTTTTTCCCCTGATTTTCGCATGGCCTATAAGCACACAATGGAAATCATCCTATTCAATCTTTTCTTTTCTATGATAACTTTTTCCCAATTGTTTTTGGGTTACAATTTTTTTTTTCTTAGACCAGTGAGCATACAGTGACATATTTTGTATGTTGACATTGTGCTTAATGTCCAAACCGACCTCGTTTAAAAAACAATTCCCTCATACAAAGCTGGTATGCTGCATAACCAAAAATGCATGGAATACAAGCTCCAAAGCTCACTGTTTATATCAATCTTTTTCCCTACAAACAAGAGTATCTCAACCAATCATTGTGAGAGCCATGTTGCCTTTGAACTCATCATCATCCAATCCTAGCAATAACTCGTAGTTAGGTGAATTCTGTCAAACTATACATCATCTGTTGAGACTTGAGAGAGAAGCAATTGCAAAACAACTTGGAGGATCTTGCTGTTGGGAAAACTCTGTTGTCTCACTTCGATGCAAAAATGGCCTCTAAATCTTTGTACAACCCTGTTGGTTTTGATTTGAAATCAACAGAAGAATTTGGAGTTGAAGAGCTACCACTCCTCTTGGAGCTCCAAAAACCACTCCATCTAGGACGAGTGTGACTACTTGAAGGATCATTTGTAACTCCACTTCCTTCTTTACTAAAACTGGACTTTGCCAGCTCTCTTAGTTGCTTTAGCCACGGTTTATCCGTGGCAGCTAAGTTCCGATTCCTGGAGCTCAGGTACCCACCGTTGGAAGAACTAGGATCCCTTGTTGCTCCTTCTGCATTTTGAGTCACTTGGAACTTGCTTTCCACTTGGAACTTTTCTTCCAGGGTCTTGATCAATCTCTGTGGGATGAATAACAAGAGGCATCCGATTGAAGCTAATTTCAAACCTGTTAAGAAGGATTTCTCAGCAGGGTCCAGCAGCAATGTTTGTTTGTACAATGCATACCATTCATTGATCATCTGTGCTACATATCCAACTAGGAACAGAAATAGCATGAAAATTCCAACTTTAGTCTTGTCGCCGGCTGAAAATTCCTTCTCCAAGAGAAACAAGCAAGTTGCAAATAAACCTACTTCACTGGAAATGGAGATGATCTCAACCAGCTGAACCTTTTTCTTGATGAAAGGCTTCTTGAGAACAAGGAAGAAAAGCTGAAAAGAGGTGATGCACAATAAGGTAACTGAGGGAGTTTTAGAAGACCATTTGTCCATGTAGACACCAGCCATAACCCCAACAGCAACCCTTTTCAAACACTCTAGCAGTGTGTAGTATATTCTGAGTATTCCAAACACCTTTTGGATAAAGGGTGCTTCTGCATCTTCTGTTTCATCATCGGAGGCAATGATACTTTCACCATGCTTCTGGGGATTGCCCCCAGAAATCTGAGAGAGCATGTACTTTGGGGGTCCTCTTAGGTCTTCAAACAGAGGGCCAAAAATGATTAGATAAACAGAGTTTGGTTGACCTTTCCATGTCCACTGGCCTCTTTTGCCTGGACCAAGGGTCACCCGGACAAGCTCTTGATACCAGTGACATTCCAGGCCTTCTCGATGCACTTCCTTGTATTGAAGGAACTTTCCAAACGTAATGCCAACTGAGAGGAAAAAGAGCAAGGCTAGCAGCAGAAAAGAGGTGATAACCAACAACAGGCTACCAACTATAACCCCAGATGGCATTCCTCCTGAAACCATGGAAGTAAGAATTTTTCACTTTCCCAAAGTCATGAAAGGAAAACTAATAACAAAAGATTATAGAGGCAAAGGCAAAAATTACATAAATGAGAGGAGGAAGGAAATAATTTAGTATTAAAAGTACCTCTAACTAGCGCAGCAGAGGCCTCATAGATACAAGGCAATGCAAGTATTACAAGAAATATTTCAAATCTGGGGAATGTGAGTGCTC